GCCTCTGCGCCTGTTCCTGCCGCTTTGGGTTTGCGCTCCTGCAGAACAGCCCGGGGCTGAATTTCGTACCTTGAAGCCAGCCCGGAGTATTGACGTGGAGCCTGCTGGTGGCAGTGTTGGATACGGAATGCTCGTCATTCTTCCGGCTTCATTCCAGTCAGCCCTGGCTGATGGGATTTTTACGGAGCATGGGAAATGCCTGCCGGGGAAAGCCTCCATTTTGCTCTGCCTAGCTCGTTAAGTCTGGGGCTTCCGCCTTTGCCAGGGCTTTGGGATGTTCCAGCATTTCCCTCGTTTGCACACAGAATGCTTTCTTTGCCGAGTCTGGAAAACAGCTGCTCTTCCTGGGCTGCGGGGCCAGGGAAGTGTGGCTGTGGGCAGCACCTGCCGGAGGCCCCTTCCGGGATGGTGACGGAGGAGCCCAGCGAGCAGTCCGGAGCCGGGGCGATCGAACGGCCCGCCGCCGCCTTTCTGCGCGGGGGGAAAGGTTGTTTCTTACGTCACAGCTCATAAAAATACTTTGAAAATTAATCAGATGCATGTGTAGCAGATGTGATCCTTGGATTGGAGTGAAATTTCAACACTCGGCTCACTCGCATAGGGAGCTCGGTTATGTTGGGACGGCCAGATGGACTAATTAAACGGAGCAGTAGAAAATGTGGGAGGCAAAACACAAGTGACTATTGGGCTTGACATTTTAGTACCTTGCAGAGAAACTTGAGAATTTAGGAAATGCTATTTAATGCTAATTTGCTGTGCCGAACGACGGTGTTTTCAGGCAGCCAGTCCAAATACAGATTGAGTCGGCCACCCATCAAACTCGTGTCACGTGATCAAAATATCCGAGGTTTCTTGACGAATAGAAGCACAAGGAGCATCCCTTATGGCATTTAGCACAGAGTTGGAATATCCCACATGCTTTCTACACCTTTTTGCGTGTTTCTGCAGGCGTTAGTCTGATGGGTTTTATGAGCACGAGCGAGACTCTAACTGCCCTGGAACACAAGGTGTTTCATCTTGGATTGAGGGTTATCAGCCTGGGTTCGTTTTTGCAGTTTGAAATGAAATTACTGTGGAGCCATTTGCCCTCCATGCCAAAAAAAGAAAAATCAGCAATAAAAGCATCTCTTGGCATTTGTGAGCAGTGGGAGTAGCAGTAGTTGTTGGAGCATCCTTAGCACCCGTGGTCAGGGTCGACGGAGTGACGCTCCGTCTAGCTTCAGTGCGCTGCGTGTAGGCGTAGCACGGTCTGCATCGGAATGCCGGGGCGTGTAGGTTCCTCTGAGCTGTGCTTGTAGGAAGCCCCAGAACACCCGTCTTGTGACGGTGTCCTCCTGCGCACTCTGTTTCTGCGCATATGGTGTTTAGTGCTGCTTTTAAACATCCGTTCTGCAGCCTGCTGGCTTCTTTTCAGTCTTTTCAGTCGCTGAGGCCTTCTGAAACTCTTGAGAACACAGCAGGGAAGCTCAGCTTCAGCCAGGAAACCGTATGGTCATTATAAAATGTACTGTCTGAGGGGTGTTCTTGTGTAGCGGAATAGCTGCAGGACTCTGCCGGATTCGGGTTAAACTGAACACCTGAGGAAAAGATGTACTAGGGATTTCCCCTCGGAACAACTGCCGTTTTCTTGCATGCTGGAGCTTGGGTATTGTCTCTGCTGGCTGCAGGACTGCCTCCGAGCCGCGGTCCCGAGAGAAGCAGCAGCCGTGCTGACTGAAGCTGAACGTCTGTCTCGCCCGGAGCAGAGCCATGCCAGTGCTTTCGGAAGACTCAGGTAACTCATGTGCGTGCTCTCCACACATCACTGACTGAAACCATAGTGCAGGCGCTTCACACAGGAAATTTAATTCAAATTGGAGTGAAATAAAAGACAATTAAGATATTTCAACTAAATTTCTTAGCAATTTCCTAAAAGAAGTCAAGGAAGGTGGAGTATAAAAAGCGGAAATGAATAAAGTTAGTCCCATTTCAGGAAACGCCCAGTTTTCTAAGAACCCGAGACCCCTGAATATACGCTGGTGGTCAGGCTGCTACGGACAAACCTGGTCCTCTCAGCAGAACCCTGGCTCCTACGCGTGCTTGTCAGAGGTCAGCCCTTTCGGTTTCTGTGCTTGCTGTGCCAGTTCTTACTGTTCTGTAAAGGGGCGTTGATCAGCTTTGTTCACATTCTTCCTTTTGCCGTGAAACCCAGCGCTGGCAACCCGCTGCCAACAGCTGGTTGCCACCAGCGTGCTGCCCGGGGGGGGGCCGCGTACGCGAGTGGCGCGGGGCTGCAAAGCAGGGGCGAGCTGCAGTCTCCGCATCCGAGCGTGCTCACGCAGAGCAGAGCCGAAGGAGCACGTTAGGCTGCCCCCTGCGCCCCCTCCCCTCCTTTTCTGGTTTGGTTTTGTTGTTATGGTCCACCAGGAACGAGCTGATGTTCGTTTGGTGCTGAGCACCGCACGGTTGGGATGCCGAAGATTTCTGCGCTTTGTAGGAAACCAGCCACAGGCTTTGTTTCCCCTGCAGCAGAAACTACACCCGTCCTCTCCTCCTTTGGTCAGACCTGGCTTCCGACGGGTGCCTGGGGGATAGAAAGGGCAGAGTAACACGTGTCAGCAGAGTTGCTTGGGAAGTAGAGCCGGAAGCTGTTCAGGCATTTTGTGAGGCTGCTGTGGCACTCTCCTGACCCCAGGGTTGTTAGAGGGCTAGCTGTTCTGGAAACAAAGGTTGTTAACGTGGAGAAACCTCAAGAGGAGTGTCCTTGAAAATAGCTGTTGCTTCGGTAGCTTTTGCCTTGATGTGGTATGTGATAGCTTAAGGTGCGTCCGCCCCTGGGGAAGGGAGCGTTTCGGAATGAGTGGGTGATGAGCACAGACCTCTGCCAGCCCCATGACGGCCAAGGTGGTAGCCAAGTAAAGGAACTTGATGTAAAGTCTGCAGTAGAAGGTCCCATGAGATGTACTGTCTACAAAGCTTTTGTTCTGTCTTGACTTGAAATTTAGGATTGCATGAAACTTTGGCCCTTTTGACATCTCAGCTAAGACCTGACTCAAATCACAAGGAGGAAATGGGATTCCTTAGGGACGTCTTCAGTGAGAAGAGTCTCAGCTACCTGATGAAGGTAAAAGTCCATTTCTGAACATGCATTTTCCTCACAGGTTACTTGTTCACTGTTCCATTGATTTATCAACTGTTTCCTTTGCCAAAGACTTTTTAGGTAGAACTGTGTATTGATTAAAGCCTGTGTTGACTTAAGCAAAAACATTAGGAGCGTTGGTTGACAACATATTCTGTTTGGAACGCCCATTTCTGACTTGACTGTCAAAAAGCAGATGCAGTGCTTGCAGCTAAAAAGCGGTGTGAGAAGGCTTTGGTTTTTTCCCTCGCGCTGCTGGAGCCGTAACAGGTTTTCTGCCTGTCTGTGAAAGCGGCGTGAGCAAAAAGAAAGCTGAGATGCCTAAACAGAACAAAAATAACCCCGAAAAAGGTTACTTTTCTGACACTCATCTTGGAAAAAATGATGTTCCTTAAATGTGAAAGTACTCCAGTGTAGGTATATATATGTTTTGTGTCTCTGTAGTAATGTACTGGAATAATCTTTTTCAGATTTATGAAAAGCTCCGTCACTATGAACGACAGAGCCCGACTCCTGTGCTGCACAGTGCAGTGGGATTAGCTGAAGATGTGAGTAAAACTTCTCCTCCCCTTACTTTCCTGTTGTTTAAGGCCCTGTTCTAACAAATAAAAGGTTTGTGGTGGTGCTAGATGTGCACGTGTTTCTCAGCTAGATGTGCACGTGTTTCTCAGCTTCCCCAGCTGGGTTTGGGCTCTGTTGGCTAGTGGATGAAGGAGATGAGAGCTCGGAAACACCGTGTCGTCGTGTGCAGCAAAGACAGGCACAGGCAGGTAGAACAGAAGGGTGATATTAATGGCCTTCCTAAGGGAGAGGCTGCAAAAAGTGATTCTTTCTCGACTACAGACTATCCCAGCTAAGTTTTCGGTCTTGGGGACTAAAATGCGTTACAGCCCCAGCAGCGCTGCTGTTGACGTGGAACAGTTTGGGTTGAGTGGGACCCTGCGGACCCAGTGTGACCGTTCAGCCGCAGGCACGGCCGCCTCTCACCAGGTCGGGTGGTTCAAAGTCAGCCTGGACAGGGCTTAAGAGTGTTTCCGGTGGTGGGGCATCCACAGCTTCTCTGGGCAACCTGTTCCAGCATCTTGGCACCCTCGTTGTGAAAAAATGTTTCCTTATATCCAACCTAAATATCCCCTCTTTCAGTTTAAAGCTGCTGCCCCATGTCCTGTCACTGCAGGCCTTGGTACAGAGTTTTGCTCCATCTTTCTTTTAAGGCCCCTTTACACACTGAAAGGCAGCAATAAGGTCTCCCTGGACCCTCTCTTCTCCAGGCTAGACAAGCCCAACTCAGTCAGCCTTTCCTCACAGGAGGTGTTCCAGCCCCCAGCCCCTTTCCGTGGCCTCCTCCAAACGTGCTGAAACAGGTTCGTGCCTGTCTTGTACTGGGGACCCTGGAACTGGGTGCAGCACTCCAGGTGCAGGGGGAGGGTGGTGTGTGTCTGGCGAGAACGCAGAGGGGAGAATCGCCTCCCTGGGCCTCTGGCCACGCTTCTTGTGCAGCCTGGGATACAGCTGGTTTTCTGGGCTGGTTTTCCATCCATCGGTATCCCCGAGTCCTCTGCAGGGCTGCTCTTGGTCACACATCCCCAGCGTGCTCACAGAGCAAAGCTGTAGCTTACGTTTGTCTGTAACATGCCACGTGCCTGGAACAGAAACTTCTGCAAAGGCCTCTGACAGCTTTTTACAAGCGGGTTGTGCCTGTTTCCTTCCAAAGGGTTGGGGAAGGGCTGGGAGCTGGAATTCCTCCCTTAGCAAAGCCAGCAGACCCCGCTGCCCCATCTTAACCTGCAGCATTCCCTCTTTCCCACAGACAGTCTCACGCCCCCGTGGAATAGCACTGCTGCCTGACAAGTCCTGCTAAATCACCACCTTCTAAACCGCAGAGGGGAAGTTTTAGCAGGGCTGTGTGACCTGGCTTTACAGGAAAGGAAATCCCTCTTGCCTCGACCCACTCTCCCTTCCTTCTCCCTCACTCCCCCCACTACTCTCTCCCCCCACCCAGCCAGTGTGAAAGGGCTTCTATTATTTCCCTTACCTTTGGTTTTGGAAGGTCTGAGACTCCAGGACACGTTTTGGTATCCAGGCTTTGCAGGGGAACAGGGGAACTACTGTTGATGGTTCCACATGGGTGATGCTACCTGGGTACGGAGAGATTAAACCTCCTTACCACAGCATGAGCATATGAGTGGCGTTTTACGTATCGCTGAGGAATTCCATATAGAACTGAAAATTTCAGAACTCATTCCTGATATTATATTGGCAGAACGACTCTTAAAAAGTACGTGTAGGGGCCAAGATCCTGATTTCTGGTGATGCCTTCTGGAACTGTCTGATGAAAGTGAAACAGAAGATGAAGCTCTCTTCCCTTTCAGGATTCACGCGTCGCTGACCGGGGTTGGTTTGGGTCTGTGCACACTGCGCTGAAGGATGGTGGATGTTAGCAAACCCTCACCAGAAACTCTCCCAAGTAGTGATCTGCTCTGGTGGAGTCCTGTTGTTTTCAGGTGGTTAATTTTTATTTTAAAGGTAATAGAAGAGTTGCAGACTGCACCTGTGAATAACGAAGAGAAGGAGCTACTACAGCTGTTGTCAACACCACATCTCCGGGTAAAAACGCACCGGGACCTTAAGGAAATTCCTTTGCAGAGTTCCAATAGAATGGTTTGTAGTGGAAAAGTTATATCGGAGAGTCCCTAAGAGAAAGGAAAAACCTCCTGCTGCCTGTGGTTCAGTTCCACTGCGAGTTCCTGCACGGGCTGTGGGATGTGAAGGGGGTTGGGAAGATTCAGCACAGGCGTTTCATGCTTCGTGGGCCCTGTTTCGTTCCTTCCCCCCTCAGTAGCTTCTGAGGGAGAGGAAGGAAAAAGACACCCTCTCTCAACTTCTTGTTCCCCATAGTCCTCCCATTTGTAAGTTTATCTGGGCTTTGTTACTGCCTGGGTTCACTTTAACTCTGGGCACATACCAGCATACGGCTTTAATTGAAGAGAACGGGCAAACGTGTGGGGCGGGGGAAGGGGGAGGTTAGAGTGTGCCATAACGCTGGAAACACGAGAGCCGGGAACTGTGACATTCCCCGTCAGTTCCTGTTGGTTTCCTTCACGCAGGCGATGCTGGCAGTACACGACACCGTGGCTCAGAAGAACTTCGACCCAGTCCTTCCACCTCTGCCTGAGAACTTTGATGACGATTTCGATGAGGAGTCAGTGAAGATTGTTCGGCTGGTGAAAAACAAAGAACCCTTGGTACACACACGGTAACCCGTTGCCAGGTGCAGAGCGGTAGCGCAGAAGCATTACTGTCAGTGTGGAGGAGGCACGAGTGGCCGGGAAAATCAGGAGTGTTCTGGAGCTGGGAAAGGTGCATAGAAGGAAAACGTTGGTAAATGCCCCTGCAGAATTCTGCCTGGGGTGCTTTACTGGCAGGTTTGTAGCGGCACGGAAGGCAGGGGACGCGATCTTGGAGGAAACTGCGTGTGATGAGCCTTATGCTGATCACACACTAATGCTTTTCACATTGTAGCTGCCGTTCAGTGAATTAAAACCTTCTTCCTTGGCCCCGACGTCAGTGATGCAAGCGTGTCTGTGACAGCTGCGTGTAAACGTCCTACTGGCAGGGGGCTAATTCCATGCAAATGGAAGAATTTATTTCCTAAGGAGAACCATTGCGGCGGGGAGGGGATCTGCTGGAGTGCTTTCCGTAAGGGCCAGCAGGCAGTGGAAGAAGGCAGTGGTGGAGCAGGAGGAGGAAAAAAGAAGTCAGTACTTAGCTCTTGCCTTTGTGTGTGCAAGTGCTGGCTGCATTGGGCGCCCGAGGCACGCGGGGAGGCCCCACGGTCAGACGTGCCGTTTGGCACACGCGCATGACATGGATCACTGCGGTGCGGGGGGTGGCACAAGCACTGGGCAGAGCTGGCGGAACGCGAGGGGTGCGCACCTTGCCCCAGTCGTGCAACACAGGCGAAGAAGGGTGCAGACCGTCAGGGAGGAAGACAAAGCTGAAAGAACAAGCTCCCGCACTGCTCACTGTATCCTTAGCAAACTTCTTACCATGGTGTCTTGTGGGGTATGTTTTATTTCAGGGAGCTACCATCAGGAGAGACGAGCATACAGGAGCTGTGATTGTAGCAAGGATCATGAGAGGTGGCGCAGCTGACCGGAGCGGTAAATTTCAGAAGAAAAGGGGGTTTAAAATTCCATTTTTAAACTGGTTTAAAATGTCTAAGCTTATGCATGCACACATGTACGGTACAGAGGTACCTAGGGCGATAATCCCTAACCAAATCTGATGGCTGTTCATTCCAAAGCCAGTCCTTTGGGCACGGGTGTTTAATATACGCACACTTTGTTAAAAAAAGACAACAGCCCATCGAAATGTTAACAGGCAGGTGTTAGATGGCAAGTTTGAAATAGGCTGCAGGCTGTCTGTGTAGTCAGTGGAGGGAGACAGACACTGCTGGGGAACAAATCATTCCAACGAGCTTCAGAGTGGGATAGGCCGCCGCTGGCACGGCCTTCCTTAACCGCTCCGCGGGGGCTGCGCGGTGAGCGCGCTTGGCAGCTGAATTTCGGCACGCTGAATGTCTGCTCGGTGTGCCTTCAGGATCTACGGGGTTAATTTGTGTGGTATTTGACCTTCTGTTTTCTGGAAGGTGGTTATCCAGATTTTACAAAATAAGCTGAACTGACCTTACATGAGATCTATAGACTCTTCTATAGACTTTTCTAATATACAAGTAATGCAATCCCAAAATGAATGAATGTGGTGAAAAAATACTGGCTAATTACAGCTTTCTTCTTGCTTGCTGCCGTTCCTCAAATTGGCGTGATCCGATCAACGCCGTGGGGAATGACCGGGGCGTGCGCTCAGCACCTCTGCACCTCAGCAGCGCTGTTGCTTTAGCTAGGCAGGCTCTCCTCCAGCACAGCCGGCAGGGCAGTGTGCCAGCGGGGGTGGGGGGAGGAGGCCGAAGCTTCAGAGGGAAGAAAAGAGAATGGTTTGTACCTCTAATGCAGGATCCTGGTTTCTTCAGTGCATCAGGTGGTGTTGTCTCTTTGCTCTCCTGAGGAAGTGGTGTCTGTCAGCTAACAGTGGTTACGTAGCACAAGTACAGCCTTGGCTACTGAGCTGGGTGAACAAACCTGAAACTTGTAAGGGCCTTTTGAACTAGCCAAGCATTCCTCCTGAGGCTGCGTAGTGCTGAGCTGCCAGTTGATGGCCATGCCATTCCTGCCTCTGGAGTCAGCAGCCTGTTCCCTCTCTCCAAGATTTCATCACCCTCATGAAACTATCCCAGTTTTGCATTCTTAGTGCCGATCCACATGCAGAGGCAGTGATTTTCTAGAGCATCTTGCCACGTTCTCTGTGTCCCCACCAGTCTCCTACGAGTCTGTTCTGCATGAAAAAAATGCCTGTGGAATAAGGGCGGGAGACCTCAGGGCACGTTCCCAACCGAGGCACTTGGCTCTAGTAGGAAATCCATGAAGCTGGGGGAGGGAGGAGAGGAGGTGCATGCTGTTGGCTTGGGTTGACATCAGAGGAGTGGTGCTTTCCGGTCTCTAGACTTACTTTAATTTACCTGCCATCTTTTCAGGTCTTGTCCACGTTGGAGATGAGCTAAGAGAAGTCAATGGTATTACTGTGCTTCACAAACGACCGGAAGAAATAAGTCAGATTTTGGTCTGCACTGATTTTCATTTCACGATCGTTTATGTTGAGTGATGTAGTAATTACAAGAGGTGATGAAGTTTAACCATGAGTTGAAAATGTGCATAGACCTAAACGATGAGATCCCTGCTTGTCTTTGCATTAAGGGTTTTCCTTCTCCCAGCGCGTTAGTCTTCTCCTTTTGACCTCAGGAACTTGTGTGATGGGGATCGGTACTGAGTAAGGTACAGAAAGGAGGTTACGTGCTGCTCTGTCAGGAGCTTCCCTTTTGCGCTGGGTGCGGCAGGCAGAGTGCCAAGGAAAGTGCGTTCCTGGAGGAGAAGCAGTCTGCTGGTAACGCGGTGTGCTAGGAGGCTGGAGGACGTCTCGGCGGTGGCCGGCAGAGCTCAGCCCATCCTTTGCCACATTAGCAGACTCTTGTGTGGAGCTTCGCTAATGTTGGTGCCCGCAAATCTCGGTGACGCCTTCTCCGCCCCCGCCTCTGTCGGCAGTTCCCCCTTGTCGCGGAGCGGAGTTGGGGATGCAGGAAGAACGGCGGCTCTAGGGGGCTGACGTGTGTGTGGGGCATCGCTCCCATCGCCTAATTGAAACTGAGAGCGGGCTAGGCCGACTAAGGATAATGACTGCTCTGAACCTGGAGGGCTGAGGGGAGGGTGAAAATCGTCCTTTGAAGTGCAGGGTAAAACTTTATTTGGGGGGACCCTGGGATGCTGTTACCTGTCCCATCTGAAACACCTGCAGCATAATCGTTTCCTTTTCACGGTGTAATTTGGGGGAAGAGCAACAAATGTTTGTTCCAGCCGATTGTCTGGGTTTCCCTTTCCAGCTGTGAGGAATAGCAGGCTTCGCTAGGACACGGGGCACCTCAGCCCAACAAGGGCACCTGGAGTCGGGCAGATTCTGGAGTCTGGGCAGCTGTTCCGGGCTGCCCAGCGCCGAAACGTGCCTTTTGATTTCCGTGACTCAGAACTGACATTCCTGAGCAAAGCGTGTCGGGGCGAAAGCAGATGTTTACTTTGCCCGTGTTAACCGTTCCCCCTAACTAGTTAGCCACTGGGGCGACAGAGGAGCACTCTGCGGGTTTGGCAGGCCGACCGTGGCAGTGGGCGCTGTGCTGAAGGCCGCAGGAGCGTTCGGTGCCCGAAACGAACGCCGGCCTGACAGCCAGCAAAGGCTCTGAATGCCTTCCAGCCCAGTAGTTCCCGTGGGTGTCTCCATGGGAAGACACGGTTGGGAGGCCCCACGGTTGCCTCTGTAACGAACCCTGGATTAGCTTGGCCCATTCAGGTTCTGAGAAGAGACAGATGGCAGCTCCTGAACTGAGATTTGAATAGTCTTGCTCTGTCCTTGTCCTGCTGTCAAAGTGAAACCGTTTCTCTCTTCCTCAGGCTCAGGCTCAGGGGTCAATAACGTTAAAAATAATTCCCGCTGTCAGAGAAGAAGATCGTCTGAAAGACAGCAAGGTGCGTGCTTGGGGAGATGCCAAAACACGCGTTTCCATACTTCAGTGCCGGCATCTCTGGGAATGCGGCTCCTGCTGTGTCAGTGAGAAGTGTCACAGACCCAGCACCGAGCTAAAAAGATCATTGAGCAGTTTCTTGTTGTAAAATGCCCTTCTACTCAGTAGAATGACTGGGATGGCTTCAGTCTGCATCATCCTGGCATACAAGGACCGTATTAACAATTGGGCAACTTTGCCATAAACCCCTTCTGTTGTTTTCTCCTTCCCCTTAGTTTTTTGTTTCCTTTGTCTGTGGCATGTTCCGGCATACAGGAGAGATCATGAGTAGATACAGTTGGCAGTGGGAGCACTGGGGAAGCCTTTTTAAGGCAGTTTGAAATGCCAAACAGGCCAAGAAGAAAGGATGTGTTGCTTTCTTTTAAAGGTGTTTATGAGGGCGCTTTTCTGCTATAATCCCAAAGAAGACAGAGCCATCCCCTGCCAGGAGGCTGGGCTGCCCTTCAAGAGGCGACATGTCCTAGAAGTTGTAAGCCAAGATGATCCCACATGGTGGCAAGCAAAGCGTGTCGGAGACACCAACCTCCGAGCAGGTTTGATCCCCTCCAAGCAGTTCCAGGAAAGGTTTGTCAGTGAAGATTATGGAACCTTTTCCACACCCACAGTGTCACACTTTTTTATGCTGGGTTTTTTTCACAGGAAGGGAAGGGCAGGATCATCCTGGGGGAATACCTGATGCTTAGAGCCAAGTGCTGAAGAGCCCCATCTTCTCCAATTAGATTCTTCTTCCTGGCTTTCCTTGGCTGCTTTGCCAGTGGCTTATGCTCTGTAGCGTGACAGAAGCGCTGGCTGAACAAACACGTATGAAACAAAATGTGGAATATCAGTCTCCTGATACTCTTGGCTTTTGGGGACACTGTATTTCACAGCCTTGCACTGCCAGAGTGCAAGGGGAAATGCTGATTTATTGTGACAATTTTGAATTTATGCATGTAGTAGTAAAGAAAAGTGTCTCTGTGATCTGCTCGCTTAGAAGAGAGTGTTCAGCTTGGACCCGCACACCTAGAGCTTGATGGTTACAGCAATACTTGTGTGTCTGCTAAAGCCAAAATCCCCCGCGGGTCTGGTCTTTACACTAGAGAAGACTGGGCGAGGAGTTGAGCTCCGGCTCCTGATTTTAACCCTTCAGAAAATGTTAGTTGATGCTTGGCTTTTGCATTTTCCCACAAGCTGGGTCACGCTGCCTTTGCCAGCAGAAAAATTCCAGTGGATCTGGAAGGCAGTGGATGATTTTTGGGTGTGCACAGCCACAGTTAGCGTTCTGGACAAAGGTTATCTACATTGGAGTTCTTTGAGGTTAGCAGTTTAGGGGGGTGGCAGATGGGAATCTTGTCCATCCTTTGAAAAATGGCAAATAGAAGTTGGATTCTCGCAGAATTAGAATGGAACAGGACAGCTATTTTGATGGGGTGGGGAAAGGGAAATACGGGGTAAACATTAGATGGATCAAAGTAACGTGCTGTTGACGTCTTTGCTCTGATGTACGAAATCTCCAGATGACTTATAATGGTCTCTGTCATTTATCAGTGACACTCTGGGACCAGCACAGTTTTAAAGAAAAGGTCTTTAGCACTTTCCCTTCTTCATTCAGCGCTCTCTCTGGTCTTTAATTCTGGGCTTACGTGGCTAAACCACAACCATTTTCTGTTTAGACGGCTGACCTACCGAAGAACAACAGGCACTCTGCAGAATCCCAGGACTGCGAGGAAGCCGCTGTGTAAGTCTCTCCCGTTCCTTCGGCAACTGTGTTTTTCTCTGTATTTTTCTGTTCTGTCGATATCGCTGTGGCCGAGTCTGGTTTGTGTGATCTGCCATGGGCTGATTTGACTGGATGCAGGCTGCCACGTGGGAGGATTTGGGCTTGAGCTTCATTCAGCGTAGCAACTACCTATTGTTTTCAAAAAACATGGGTGTCCTCTTCTTCCTGCTTTCAGGAACATGAGGCCTTACACATTGTTCAGGTGCTTTAAAATTTGCTACAGGCCCCATTTTATCTGTAGTTTGAAACTTGGAAGCTGCAAAAGTGACCCAAAGTGTGCTTGAAATTCGTACGTGAACACGTGACACACGCCCAAGCTCATCTGAAGACAAACTGTCGCTTTAAGGAGCATAAAAGTCACTGGAGCTGGTAACACCACGTGTGTCAGAGCTGCTGTCAAGTAGACTTTAAACTAATTCTTGGTTACAGCTCTGCACCTCAGCCAGTGAATTATTCACACAGGAATCGCTGCTTGTGGCGAAATTGCTAGTCAGTGGTGAAATGCAGGAGACGTCCCGGGTTATCCCAGACTGTGATGTTCCTGTTGCTCTGGGGTACTTCAGCACAGCTGCTGAGGGCAGCCCTGAGGCTCTGTAGCCAGATGTGCTGGGACTGCCACCCTCGTGTAGGCCAGGAATCTGGAGATTGTCCATCTTCCATCGTGGGAGTGAACTGCTGACCGCAGGCTGCTGCTCACGGAGGGCTATGGGTGTTGTTCTGCTAGAGAGAGGAGAGAAGATGCTTGACCAAATTGTCAAGCAGCGTTACTGAAACAAAACTATTCCAAAATAGTTTCCATTGCTGTTAGTAATGAGGGTGCCTACTTGGGCTTTTGTAAGAACCCTCGAGACAATTAAGCTGATAACTGCTTGTAATAACCACGTTTTAGCAAATAGGCTTCAGTCAGTTCAAAGGCATTTTCTTTTTTTTTAAGAGTGAAAAGCCTGCTAACCAAATCAGACCAGAATAACCACCTTTTCCATTCCCTCTAAATTTTACTCACTCATTTTCCAGTCTTTTAATATCACACCAACTCTGCCTTTCATGCTGACTACAGATGACCAGTCTTCTGATAAAGGTAGGTACGACCCTCACTTCTCTGTCTGAAGAGAAACCTCTACCATGCTTGCTAACCCCCAGAAACGGGCAGCCTAGGTACAGCTTGTTCCTCCAGCAGTTTTTTCCTGAGTTGTTATTTAAATTAACTGAGTTTGGATTGATGGCCTAGATAATCATAACTTCCAGCTGGGCTCCCGATTCAGGAGAAAAGATTAATCAGCTGATGCGCTTTTACAGGGGCTCTCTGCTCCTGAGCAAGGCTGACGGAGCGGCAGGATGTGCCGTCTTTGTGTCTGATATTTTAAAACAGACATGGCAGTACTGGGGGCGAACAGTTCGGAGCACCTTATCTGCCCGAATTGACCTCCCTTCACTGCCCGTTCGCACTGTCCTGTGCTGCGTTCCCTGTGAGCAGCTGTGCTGGGCTCCCACTGCGTCTGTGTTACTGTGCCACGTGCCTCTCCCCATCCCAGGTACTTTCTGCATGCTGTGATTTGGGGATTTTCCCATGTCCTTCTCGAGAGTAACACGCTAAGTATCGGTATGCCATCCACGCCGGCGAGTGCTAATCCCAGTCTAGAATGAGGTGGCTGGGAGCGGTATAGCCTAACGAAGCGCGAGTGTGAAGCCGCAGCCTGTCTTCAGCGACAGACACCAGCTCTGATGGCGCCTGCGGCGACGAGGACGTTCCGTCACCGCAGCGGTTTAGGAGCCTGCGCTGGCCTTGTGTGGCCACATGCCTGCAGCCAGCCCGGCTGGCAGCGCTCTGCCTGCAGCCAGGCTCGTCCCAGAGCCGCACCCCTCCCTCCCGAGGTGAGGTTTGTGGCCATGGCAAGGCCAAGGGGCCTGCATGTTCATGAGCCCTGAAGGTCTCTGTCAGGAAGCCGGAGAAGGTGGTATGGGTGTTAGGATTACAGTGTGGTGTGCAGAGGAGTATCGTGGGTTTGTTTTCAGGGGCCTTGGGGGTGGTTGTGGTTTGAGGAGGGGTAGATTGGCTTTTTTTACCATGGATTTGCATGTTGTTTTACACACATGTAGACAAATCTTCACCTTTTTAGTGAAGAATTCTTAGGACGATAATTTAACGTAGTCAAAACGAAGGTGTTTAGTGCTCCTGTTTGTCACCTCTGATTCCCTTTTCTCGAGCCCAGACGTTACTGAAAGGTCAGCAACAGTCGCACCAGCTGACCAACTCGTACATCACAGGGAGCTCTGCCTGCGGAGCCGCCTTTTGTCTCAGGTCTGAAAATGCACTTTTAGCAGCAGGACTGAGCAGAGCTGGTGAACGCTGAGGGCACAGACTCAGGGAACCCGGTACACAGACTCGTACAGTTCTGTTGTGCAGCATCAGCGTCGAGGATCTGTCAAAACAGGAACCGCTCACCAAGGCAAATCGGGCTTTTGTGCCATTATTTGTGTTAAAAGTATGTGTGTGTAAGGCAGGATATAAAACTTCCCTTTCCCTCCCCAGTTAGCCAGACTCTGATCGCAGGCGCTGGTTAAGGTCTCTTATCTCCTCTCTCACTCTCCCCTCCCCCCTGCCCTTCCCTCCCCCCTTTTAATTTACAGAAGACTGTGACTGTGAAGGCTATTTCAACGGACAGTACATAGGTGAGAAACCAAAATCCCCTTCCTCTTCCTAACACCCCCCTCTCCCCCCTTCCCAAAACCCAAACCGCACCCGCATTAAGAAGTGCCTTATTTGCCTTGGGGAAAACCTCCCACCTGTCCAGGAACCGTGTCTGCGCAGAGGCATGACTGGACTCTGGCACAACCAGCACGGGGCAACTCAAGGCGACGGGAGGGGGGTGCTTGGTTTTCTACCTGTTATGCACGTTTTTCATCCCTAAGATGAGCGTGCGTGCAGGGATTTGATGATGTAAAACATCTCTGGGGATAACTCCTATTCAGAGCCAGAGTAACCTGTAGCTGCACACGTTGAGCATTTCCACAGGTGGAGACACGGGCTCGTATCTCTCCCCTACAGCTGGCTTACGCAGGAGCTTCAGACTGAGTCGTAAAGAGAAGGAGAACAGTCTGAGCGAAGGAAAGCCGGTGGAGCAGGTGGACACAGTGGAGTTCCTGACGTATGAAGAAGTCACCAAGTACCAGCAGCAGCCTGGTGAACCGCAGAGGGTGGTGGTTTTGATTGGTGAGATACACAACGCGTTCAAAGTTTTTCACCTCTCTCTCTTCCTCTACCACCTGCGCTCCAAAAGGCTTTTCTTTAGGTCTTTTTGTGGTCCTAGTGGGCTTTTTTAGGGCTTTTCTGGTTTTGGTCAGAAGTTATCTTCTTTTAAATGACATTTAAAAAAAAAAACCCAAACCAACACCCAACCGAAGTCACCAAACCCTAAAACCAGCGATGCAGGACCATTTCTCGGTTTTTCCAGTAGACTTTCCGTCAGTTTTCAGTCAAACCAGTGCAGACTTAGGCTGCCAGAGTAACTGATGGAAAGGTAGAGACTAGGCTTGCTGAACAAGACGTTGCATGCCATTTTAGTTCAGGCTGCTCAGCAGCTTTTCCCAGAATGCCACAGCAGTCCAGGGCATCTCAGAAAACTGCCCGCTAAGGTTACGCGTTTGCTGGCTCAGAGCCTGGCAGAGGCCTGTCCCGCAGCTGTTGCAGGATTCATTTTGTGGCGGGGGTTCTTCCGAGCAGGACGCGGCAGGCCACGAGGCCCCTCGCACACGCGTTGCTCCACACTCGCTCCCGTATCCTGTTACCTGTGTAAAATGCGCAGATTTATTCTCTTTGTGGGGTTTCATTCCACACAGAAATACGTCAGTCGGTTCTGTTTTATTAGGTTGTTTGGGGGCCAGATTAAGTGAGCTGAAGCAGAAGGTGGTGTCCGAGAACCCGCAGGAGTATGGTGTCGCAGTTCCACGTGAGTAAAACTTACTGCCTGTTGCGTGCCGCCGCTTGGTTCCATCAGTGCCGGCTGGTGGGGAGCACTGCCCGCATGGATGGACGGCGACTCGGGTGTCGCTCTCCGTTACATCTGTTTCAGAAGTCCCTCAAGTTGCCCTCCTCATTAGAACAGGCTGTGCGTGCCCTTGAGAGCTGACCACGTCGCTGCGTTACTTGGCCACACGCCCTTGGGAATGCTCTTGGCTCAGCTGACGGCTCTGGAGTGTGTTTTCCCCAGTGAACAGATCCTCAGCATCCACGAAACAGACCCAGAAACAGAACATGGGAGAAAAACCAAGAGTGCAGATTGCACAGGAGGCTGAGAGGGGATCTACTCTAGGGAATCCTGCTCTGGCAGGGGTTTGACTAGATGAGCTCTAGAGGTCCCTTCCAACCCCTGCCACGCTGTGACTCTGTAAATCACAGCATCAGGAGTGAGGGACGCACGTGGTGGGAGTTTCACAGTAGCAGGGGAAAGCAGCTAGGGATATTCCTACTGTAAATTCAGGGGCAATATAATAGGACTTTATATATTTCTGATTTTTATTTTCTAAGTTTCAAAGAAAGTGAGAGTCCAATATTCCAAGCAGTTCAGAGGTGCTGTTTCCCATAGGATATTCTCTACTGCTCCTGCCAGCTGCAAGAAGGGTGCCTTTTGCGTCAGTGACAGCGAAGAGGCTTCTGAGCAGAACACTTGCATCTTTGGTCTTGCCGGTTTTAGATAGTTTAAATCCCAGTGATAATGTTTGATTTATATTTTATATTAATTTGAACTTGCCAGTGTGCAGCAGCCTTGCTGGAGGCCATGAAAGCATGTCTGGAAGTGAACAGAGAAAGAGAGTTGTTTGCAAAGCCTGACTGGTCTCCTGTGTCTTGCTTCTGTTCTCTCCTAGATACGACCAGGTCAAAGAAAAGTCATGAGAAAGAGGGAGTAGAATACAATTTTGTCTCTAAGCAGTCCTTTGAGACAGATGTGCAGCAAAACAAGTGAGTTAATTTAAAATAACTGACTGTGTTTCAAAGATACGGGTGGTTCAATCTTGCATCCTATGGATTCCGAAAGCAGGGGTAGAGTTGGAGCAGGTGTGTCAGAAGGGGTCAGCTTTCCCAGGAAAGCGCTCTGTTTCGTCGGGCTGTTGGCGTGAACTCACAGGTTTAGTAACACGCAGCATAGAAAGAACGTGGGGTCAGTGAGGGGATGGTAAGTTGTTAGTTAAGCCTTTGTATCCTGCGTGGAGCGATGGGTCAGAACTGAATGTAGCGACAGTAGCAAATGCTGCCTTGGGCCGCTTACTCTCCATAGAATACGGTGGATTATGAGTTTTATTCCTACCTCCACTTCAAAGCACTTTGTAGACTGAATCCGCAGCTATAAAGGACTTCTGTAAGAGTGTCTTTCCTCAAAGGACAGGTTTCGGGCTGGCCTCCCAGAAGGTGGGAGAGTTGGAGCCTGCATCCTTGCCAGCTCCGCTCTATTTTCTGTGAAAACCCGCCTCTGCCTTCTGCTGGGCTTTGAACTCAGTCACCTGAACTCACATAGCACCTTCCCCTACCTGTCAGCAGCACTGGTGAGCTGCTGGTGAGATGTGAGGAAGGCCAGTGCTGCTGAGCAACCAGAGGAAGAAAATAAATGTGGGGACAAAGAATTAAAAAACCCCACCCACATCCCCCACCTTCCTCTCCCACGCACCTTGATTTTCTGCCCTTCCCCCCTGCCCCATTTGACTGCTGTGACTTGAGGAAACCACTGTCAAATGTTGTAAGCTAAACATCTTTGTGGGTGGTATTTAAAAATGAATTGACTTTCTAGATTTGTGGAACACGGAGAATACAAAGAAAACCTGTATGGTACAAGTCTTGAGGCAATCCGGTCCGTGATGGCCAAAAAGAAGGTGTGTTTGGTGGACGTGGTACCTGAAGTAAGTTCTGCAGCTTATTTTGAAGACCCCAAGTCTCTCCCACCCGGCTGCCAGCCGCAGGCGCCAGTGGTGGTCAGTGCTCGTGGCTGCTTGGTCTCAGAACCCTGTTTCTGAGGGGTGGGCTGACCCTGGCTCTCGGAAAGCAGCTCAGCGTTTACAGCTCCCAGCCGTTCAGTTGCTGCGGCGTCAGTTTTCCATGGGAGACTCTTCCCTCGCTGCAGGAGAGCTGTGCATCACCTGCTTGGAATGCTTCGACAGGGATGGGCTTTCTGGTCCTGTTCCTGCCGTGTGCCGCTGAGGCACCGCTGGCGTTACAGCCGGGGCCGGGATCCCTGCTCTTCGTCCCTCCGTGCCGGGAGCTGATCTCTGAATCGCATTTTGGAACCGGGCTAGGGACGGGCTTGTGATTCCACCCCAGATGAATCCTGGGTTTAAAACTCCTCGTGTTTGGCCTCTTAAAGCAAACCACAACCTGCCTGTCCAGGCGATGGTTTCTGTACGTTGCCAAATACTGATGCGCAGCGAGGCGGGTGTGCGGGCAGCCCCTGGCTCGTAAGCTGGCTAGGACACGGACTTTTCTCGTGGAGAGCGGGTGGTTACTGTGCTCAGGTGCAGAGTACACAGGGCTTCACCCTTGCGTGTACCAGTGAAACTGTTAACCCGGCTCGAGCAGATCACTGACATGCAGCCAACAAAAACCCCAAATGCTGCAACAAACGGCATCTGTTCACAGGCAGTAAAGCACTTGAGGACTCCTGAGTTCAAGCCTTACGTGATCTTTGTGAAGCCGCTCGTTCCAGAAAAGAAGCAGCACGTCCTGAAGTCTCCCTTGTCAGAAGAAATCTCATCCCCTGTAAGTATTCCAGCCTTACTCTCCCTCAGCCCCGAAGGCGGTGTTGGGGCAAGCATTTCCACCACATGGAAGAGCTCCTCTTCCATGACAGTCACAGCCAGGCACTGAGGGGCCTGTGCACATCCAATCTTGCAGCTGGAACCTTAGAAGGAGATTTTTGCTCCCTTAACTGGACTCTAAGTAACGCCAAGCCAAGTGCTGGTCCTCTGGGTGGATCCACACGTGTCACTCAGGGGAAGCTGCTACTGACACAGACAAACCCATAATCACGTTCCATTTCTGAGGAGCTGCCCCAGGGGAGGGTTAAGGGTGGCCACTCCTTGTACCTCCAGTGATGCTGCCCAGGCTGGAACCAGGTACGCACCAAACGCAGCGCGTGGACGTCTTGCAGGGACCAAGCCAGCTGCAAACTGGTGATGTGTAACCACAAACAGAAGTACTGAGGGTGCGTAATGCCGGTGCTCTGGGTAACCCGAACGTGAATTTACACATTACAGAACTCTGTTTACTTGGGAAGTTTTGCTGTAAGCCCTTAAAATTACTGAACTTGGGACAGTGGGTCCAGCATCCCTTTTCAGCTTTTGAGAAATCCAACTGCCTGGTGTTAGGTTAGGCAGCGACTCTTAACTTCAGAAAATGCAGCATCACTGTCTTCTGTCCCTCCTGGAACATGATTTTTCCTGTCCCCTATCACCCCTTGCAGTTTTGCAGCCTCCAGCAGTAGTAGGCTCCTCTTCCAGCTCGGCTGTAGTACCTTCGGTACCTTCCCTAGCAGTGGCAGCTCTCGTTCCGTTTCCTTTCAAAGTCCTGACTTGCTGTGCTAATATACGTGGAAATTCTGGTAATCAAAGACGTGCTGGAAGTTTCTTACCGTCCTCTCGTGTTGCTCAGCAGGATGAAGACCAGCTGGAGATTATTAATTCAGCAGCATTCATTGAAGAGCAGTATGGCCATTTAATTGACACCGTACTGGTGAAAGAAGATCTGCAGAGTGCGTGTCATCAGCTGAAAACTCTGTTGGAGAAACTAAACAAGGATTCATTCTGGGTGCCAGTCAGCTGGGTCCGGTCCTAGCTTGCTGTCATCTGTTCAAGGGAAGGATTGTATAAATGTGTCTTGGGAATATACGGATTAGAAAAGGAAAATAGGTCAAATTCACGTCAGAACTGCTGGTCTGGCTAGAAGGTACATCAAGACTGCGTGAGGGAAAACTAGAATCCAGAGGCTGGCGCTGCCTTCCTGAATCAGCACCTGGAATAGCACCGTCGCTGCAGAGTGAATCCTGGGGCTGAACAGAAAGTCAACATATGGAGTGACGTTGAGACTGTAAATAGTGCATTTTGTAAAGGTTCACAGAGGGTCCCACGCTTCCAAAGCGTTGTAAATAGTGCTACCACCCACCTGAACGTCCGTCCTGTGGCCACAGATCTTGCGGCTAGAGCTGAGGCATCTGAGCAAGGTAACGCTTCAGGAACCAGTCTGCCTGCAGAAGGAGCTCCTTCAGCGCGGCAGGAGGGATGTCCTTCGGAGAGTGTTTACACCGTGCCAGCCCCCCATGAGTTCCGCTGGCTGACAGGCCGGCAGAACTCGTTTCCCTTCCTTCGGGATAGTTAGCTGCAAATCCTTCCCAAGAGCCACTAAAGCCAGGCCAGTTACACGAGTTGTATATATTTCAGTGCCTGAGAGACGGGAGTTTAGCGTGCATCCACACTCCCCAGCACTTTCGGGCTGTCTTGCACGGGTATGAGTCTGCTGGTCCGTAGCTTCTGTCTGCTTCCCGGTCTCTTCCTGCTGGCACAGGACACATCCGAGGTCCTGCGCAAGCACCTGCGTGGCTGGGCAGCTCACAGACCAGTAGCCTACGTGAAAATAACCACAGACGGTTTAATACTGGACTTGCCAGCAGCTGAGGTCCTGCAGGACACCTCTGCAAGCGATGGGATACCAGCCCGACACCAACACAGCAGCTCCGAGAAGGATGCTACAGGGAGGCAGCTGAGCTACAGGTCCAGATCATCATCCTTCCGGACTGTCTTTGTTCCAGACCAGGGAAAGGCTTCCAGCGCATCTAGTTGGCAATATCCCATCCTGAAGGAAAATGCTCTTCGCTGTTGGAGGACTTGGTGTGTATTTCAGGAGACTTGAAAACACAAGATTTTTAGATGGATGTTAATCAGAAAAGCAGATGGTTCCAGAAGCACGTGTGCTCTGAGAGAACACAAGTGTTGTACAGTTGCACGCTGGCCGTTTCCCACTGCCTGCTGAGGTCTGCACACCGTGCCCTTCCCTGGGACCTTGGTGCCGCAGCCTCACTCCTTGCGTTTTAACGGTATGACGTTGTTCTGGGTCGCTGCGGTTGCGGAATAAAAAAGAACACACTTCAATGCTTCTATTTATTCTAAAATCCCAGGAACGTGGGTACAGGCAGAAGACAGTTGTTATCAGGCCAAGACACCGAGTCCCTGCAGCATTAGCTGTGCCCGGTGTCTGCCCCTGCCAGGGGGAGGAAAAAGGTGGGGAGAGATTCTAGAGGAAGTCAGAATGCAAATTTCACAGTAAATTTAAGTCCTGCATTGCAGATAGTGCCCAAACCTCATAAGTCAAAGTCCCTAAGGGAAACTCCTCCCCTGTATCCTCTCTCCTCCCTGCTCGTTCCTGCGGTTCACATCGTCTTTCGTAACGTTACGGTTGGAAGCGCTGCAGGATGGGCCCTGGTTACCGTGTGCTTTTCAGGGGTCTGTATCTGCCTCCCTTCCTGCAGCCCAGCTGTGTGCAGTGCAACCAGAGCGTGCCAGTCAGTCAGATGGTTTGGAAGAATCTCTTTCCCCAACCAGATCTGCAGTAGGATGAAGAAGCTGTAAAATGCGAACTGTCAGTGTGAGCACAGTGCACGGAGATTAGAACCCCGACGCCCCTAACCCCGTGGGATGATGTGAATGTTTCTGTGCAGCGAAACCGGCGTCAGACCAACGTCTCCCAGTTCTGTGAGGAGATGGGGGTCGCGTAGCCGCCTGCTGAAAGGGGCTGGTGTCCACCAAGCAGAAAGCCGCTGTGGGTTTTGGCAGCAGGGCTAACAAGGCAGTGTAAGAAAACTGTAATTAGCAGATGTATCCTTCCCTGTTTTTCCCTACTCTTACACAGCCTCTTCCCCTCGTACATGGTACCTTACTGACGAGCATTCGCAGTCAAGTCTTCTGGAGGAGACGCCCCACTTCCTCCCGAGCGTCCATCCTTCCTCCAGCTCCTGCTGAGGGTGTGCCCCAGCCTGCCCGAGCTGCACGGTTTTGTGCCCATGATCAGCCTTTTCTGATCAGTAACGGTTAGTCTGGTTTCTACCAAACACACCTGGTTGGGCTGGAACGGGATACGGAGTACCCGAGTTCAAAAAACCAACCTGCCTTTTACGGCCACGTGCCCCAGTGCCTCTCGGCTGCGGTACCAAGAGACCTTCGAAACACTCTGTTTTCCCTCTGGGATAGCGTAGGAAAACTTGCAGAGAACCTGAGAAGGAGCAAGGAGAATGCAGGGACAGTTACAAAGGGGCTTTCCCTTACAGGTAGTCATGGCTAATGAAGCACAGCCCACAGGCTCTAAGTAGTAAAAAGCCAATGAGCTTCTCAAGTTCTTAATCAGGAAGTTGAAAAGTCATCGCACAACCACCAGCCTGGCTCTGGGGGCTTCCGGTTGCAGCTCAGGCCCAGCTGACAAGGAAGCACGGCACAGTTGCTCCCTCACTCCTTCCCCACCGGATGGATGAGGAGAATGGGAAGAAAAAGGCAAAACCCAGGGGCTGAGACAGGCTGAGACAAGGACAGGGAGTGGTCGCTCACCAGTCACGGGCACGACAGGCTGGGCTTGAGGAGAAAAGAGCATTTTAATTAGTTACCAGTCAAATCAGAGGATAATGAGAGACAAAACCAGGTCTTAAAAACCTTCCCCCTTCCTCCCGGGCCCAGCTTTGCTCCTGATTTCTCCCTCCTCCCCCACAGCAGCACGGGGATGGGGAATGGGGGTTAGAGTCGGTTCATCACACGTCGTCTCTGCTGCCATGGGGGGGGCCGTGACTCCTCACCCTCTGCCCCTGAGGGCCCCCCTCCCCGGGTGTACAGGTCTCCACCAACTTCTCCAACGTGAGCCCCTCCCACGGCTGCAGTTCTTCACGAGCTGCTGCAGTGGGTCCTGCCGTGGTGTGCTGTCCCTTGGGAGCAGCCTGCTCCAGTAGGCCCCCTCCCACCCCCACTGGGTACTACCACTGTACAGCATCGCATCCGACTTGGAGCCAAGGAAGCTTCCAGCAGCTTCTCCCAGAAGCCTGTAACCCACCCCCC